TGAATTATATCCATCTTCGTTCAAATACCAGCTGTATTAATAAAGTTGTCATAGCATCGCCTTTGCCGGTTAGAGCACGTTCTCCATCGTCCACTACAAGAGTTGTCGCATATTTCGTTACTTGTTTGATGGTTGGCGTCAAAAGCGAGGAGAGACAATTAAGATCTGGTCTGATACAGGAAATATTTTGAAGGCATAGAAAGACCAGTGATATATGAACTTGGACTTCTATTATTATTAGCAATGGTGTGGGACCGAGCAGCTTGGAGACGTCTCACCCTTCGTAGCCTAACCAGTAATGATGAGAGTTGTTAGAAAAAGATTTATTATAACGATTATAATTATATTATAATTCTTGTTATCACCGTTAACAAATTTAATTTCTTATTACTTATAGTCAACTACTGTTACTCTTAACTCTTAATATTATTACTTTTAACATTACTTTTATTAATGGTGCCAGTGGCGATAAGTAAGGCGAAATCATAAAGCATTAGAATATAGAATATTAAATTTCGAAAATTTCTCTCGTTAATCGAAAAATTATGAAACGACGTCTTTCAACGAGAAAAATTGGTTTCCCGAGTTTATAACACGAATGCTATGCCGATTGACCTCTGACCCTTTATTAATTTGTTTCTTGGTTTCTCTCTGCGAAAAGAATTGTTTATTAAAATCGATCAAAAATTGCCATTCATACACAAATGATTTAAAAAGAAATGCTATGATATTTCGAAGATAGCATAGCTAGCATTCCCATTCCCATTTCTTATGACCATAAAGACTTGGAAACAGGTAACAGATTAACCGGTTATTTTATTTACTGAAATAAGAACAATGATAGATCTTTCATTTTAGTGATTATTTTAAAATTTCATACGAAATTAATTTCATTCAATATGAAAATGGTTTAGGTGAATAAATTAGATGGGTTTAATGGTGCAAAGTCATAAAAGTTCATCTTAAGCAAAGTCTTGCAAAATCCAAAACCTTCTTTTGTTATGATGTGATATGCGAATTAGCTGATTCTATGACAATTATACAATGATGATAATGTTTTTTAAGAAGGTAAACTGACCACCAAACTGACCTCCTCACCTCCATACGTATTTTATGAATCTGCGATACATATTTATCTAATCCGTCGTCCACCACAGGAGTTGACGCATATTTCGTTATTTGCTAAACCATGTGATGGCATCAAAAGCGAGGTGAGCCAATCAAAACCTGGACTGATACGGTGAGAAAAGATTTTGAAAGATTTTGTAGGTGGACCAGCAATGTATGGACTTAGACGATGGAAAAAGGAATGGCTTCTATTACTGTCGACGATAGCACCAAACCGCACCGCTTCGAAGCGTCTTATTCTTATAGCTATTGGAAGCAGCGTAACCAGTAATGGTGAGAGCTGTTAAAAGAAGAAGATTCTAATATAAGATTGATGAGTTCCTGTACATTCAAATAAGATATGCTCAAAAATGAGTGGAACAACGAAGCCGAGCGAGAAATGAAGGGTCAACAATCCGGAGTATAAAAATTATAAAATGGCCATGTGAAACGAAGAAAGGTAAGGAAAGAATGACGATTACTATCATAGCAAAGAGTGGCTGTTATCTTTTGCATTTTGCTTTTTGTTCCAATTTATTTATTTTTCCGTCATATTTTTTGTTTTTTGCGTGATAAATGATGATTATTGCGATTCTATAAGATTTATTTCAAATAAAGGTTTAATTACCCAAGTTCGTCACTTATGAAACGAGTATACGATAATTTTACAACGTGGGTATGACAACGATTACTTTTATAACGGAAAAGATTTAACGAATTTTAAATATTAAATACTATAATTTTAATTAATAATATTAATATTAAATATTTAAGGCTTTAAAAAATCACATAAAAAACTATATATGAGAACCATTATTCAGAGGAAAGTAAATAAAAATAAAGTGAAATAAAATTATAAGTTTGAGTAAAATAAAAAAAATAGGTAAAAAAAGGAGAGCAAAAATTAAAGAAAATAAAAATTAAAGGAGAGCAAAATTAATTGCATAATTCTTTGAGGATATCATTCTGTAAAAATACAATATTTATTTAAAACAATCATAAAGTTACCGTCAAATCAAGGAAAATGAAAATAAATTACTGCTTTGGAAAATCATAAAATATAAAATATATAATAATAGGATAAGTACAGTTATTTAGTACGGTTTGCCAAATTTTAATATAATAAAAAACATGGAAATCGATGGCAAAAGCATTAAAAACAAATGAAATGAATTTGAAGCGCCATGCTGGCCATGATCCAATTTAATATGAAATGGCTAAGGTCAAGTCGCCATAAATTGACTTCCTTGATGAGATAGTAAAGTGAAATCTGTATGCACTCCATCCACAGCTGACTCTCCGGCCAACTAGATTGCTCCTAATAATCAATGGAGAAACCGGAAACGGTGAATAAAAAGCTATAGTTAGAAGAAAAGCAAATGAATTAAGACAGCGAATAATTAAAATAAATTTGGTGCTAATTGGAATGAAAGGAATGAAAAAAAAAGATCAGGAAAGAAAGAAATGGTTGGTCAGTTGGGAAAGCGAATGGATTAATGAAAAAAAAATGTTTTCTTCATTCAGGTTGACATCGATCATTACAATCGGATTAGAGAAAGTTCAACCAGTGGTTATACTTTATTCCAAAAAATAACCACTGTTACACATTCTCAAGTTCTCCTAACCGTTACTTATCTTATTGCCTTAATTAATGGAGATATTATTTATAATTGTACAACATAATTACTACGCTAATACACTTTGCCACACATTTTGAGAACAAAGGTTCTTCTCTTATTTCTACCACGAACTCATTTGAATGAGATCTAATGAGATTTATAAATCCTTCTTGAAGCCTGTGGAAGGTTTCTTTCAGAATAAAATAAGTTTTTTAAATGCGAAAAAAATTTTGTAAAAAAAATAATGTTATATGAAAATGTGTGGTGATTAAGTGATAGATAGTGCTAGTAACAATAAGACTGGTAAACAATGTGTTGCAATTTTCTCAAAAAAATTTGTTTTCATAATTTATATTTGAAGGAAAAGTTTAAATTTCAGTGCGGAATTAATAATAAATGAGAGTTGTAGATATCATTTAGGACCAAAGGCTGTCGAAAGGTAAAGAAAACCTGGCATAAATCCATAAGAAAATACAAAATTGTGAACAAGTAATAATTACTAAATTTAGAAAAATGCACATAAAATTTTAAAAACCTCTTCTTTCATATATAAGCTTTTATGATTTTCATAAGGAAAACTAATGAATAATTTATGATTAAAATATAAATTTTTTATAATTTTTTAATTTTAGTGATTTTAGTGATAAATAAAAATAACAATTTTTATTAATAACGCAAATTTTTGCAACAAAATTTTAAATGAACTTTATTTGCCTGCATTACCAGTTCAAGCATCATGGCTTTCTGTCCATGAAATGAGCAAATTTTTCATTAAAAATCCGGGTAGTCCGTTTGTATTTCTATCCTAACTAAATGCTCCATTCTTATAGCCGCGTAATCAGAAACTGCTAATTGCTAATCAGTCCAAACCTTGATACATACTTATAATACCTACTTATAATACTTATGGTTTGAAAAAAAAAGTTTTTGACTAAAGCTTTTTATTCATCTTGATAAATAATATTGAAAAATATAAACTGAATTGTATCAACTTCAGTATTAATATCAACTTGGCTGCGCCAAAACATCCGTCAATAAGGTCAATAAGGTGAGCATTCGTTGGAACAGCTCAATATCTCTTAATAAAATAAATAACATCTGAAGAAAGGGAAGAATAATAATAGGAATTAATTTATTGCTAATATGAATAAAATTTGGTATACAAATAATTTGTTGCTTACAGATATCCAATCACTAATACCTTAAATATAAATAAATAGAGCTGAGATTTTTCTGAACAAATCCTAATTTCCATTACAATTAAAGAAAAGGAATGGCTCAGTGAGTTTTTGTTCCATTTCGTGAAGCTTGGATGGTGAAATTCGATGAAAGTAAATTTTATTTTTTTTTCAAAAATCCGGGTGATCCTAGCGTCCTATTATTTCTACTCTCAGGTGACCTTCTGATGAAGTGGATAATATGCTTTTATTAAAGCAATATTTGCTTCATACTCCTGTAAAATTTTTGTTAAATTTTACAGTTGCTTAATAATCTCGTAATTATCATCAATTAAAGTGCCCGACACCTTGACCGTAGTTGAGTGGAACATCAGAACTGAGTTTAAGTACGTAAGGAATCAGGCGATAACTGTCCACCCACTCCCTATTGCGTGGACATTGCTGTTGAACCCGATTTCACATTTAATAGCAAAATTTACTCTCGTTGTGATGAAAACAATAAATTTTTAAAAGACTTTTATTATATCTCGCTTATAAAAAGGTTAAATAAATAAAAATTAGAGGACGAAAAATCGCATGGAATGAATCTAAAATTTTTTTATTCATTGGAGATGCATTTAATTTTAATTTTTGGTTCGAAATTTAAAAAAAAAAGATAACCATTTTATTTTGCTGTGGTACCATTTCAAAACTAAAATACTTTAAATATCAATTTTATAATTTGTTTATTTAATTCGTAATCAATAAAAATCAATTAAAATATAATAATAAAATATTTCAATATTTTTTAAAATATAATAATAAAAATATTTCATAAAATAAATGAAATTGATTTGGATAGGAAGAATCTGGCAAATTATTATATCTTTTATGAATAGAAATAGAAATATTTTTGTGAAACATTTCGATTAGCGCATCGTCAAAAATTTCGATTTTTTTTCTGATCGAATAATTTTATTTGCTTATAACAGAAACAATGATTCCTTATCATTCCATTTTTCATACTATAAAAAAAGGAATAAAGAAAAATTAAAAAGTTCACTTCAAATTTCTCTAATGCGGTTTCAATAAATTTTTCTAGAAAAGCTTATGAAATTTATAAGACCATCGTGTCAAGTCTTTGTCGAAAATTTACGACAACATTACTTTGCTCAAAATTACTGTTCAAATCAAAAGGTGATCGTATATGAATCGTTTTGATGTCTTTTCGATCATTTTGTTCATTTCCTTCAACAAATATTTCATGCCAACGCCAAATTTTTGCAATGTGAACTGTCTAAAGAAAATAACTGATAAGGAAAAAAATTGTTCCTTGAATTTAGCACCAAGAAATTGCACGAAAGTTTTACACTTTGGAAATTCAATTGAAATATTTTACCACGTAATATCCAACGATGGCACCGATGATTACGCCGGCAATTATGTCGCTTAAATGGTGTTTATAATCGCTAAAATCAGCGAATGCAACGTAGCAAGCTAGGTTTAATAATATAAACTGAATAATAAGAATGGCAGTCCAAGAAATTTCTGAACGGCTGAATCTCGCTTGCAGATAACACTATAACAAATATAATTATATTCAATAATAAAATAATTATAAAAATTGGTTATTTCTAGTACTTAGTAGGAGTCATCGATTTGCTCATAAAAGAATTTTTCTTTATTTACTCATTTAGAGACACCATTTTAATTCATAATGATGATTACTTTAAAAAAATTTGTTCAGATTTTCTTTTCAGCTTTTTCTTCGACGAGATTAGGTAGATGAACATAAGTAAGTTAGATAAGTAATTTAGATAAGTGGATAGATTAGATAGCTTAGTTTGAAAGTTTTAAGATATACAAAATATTTAAGATATTCAAAAATTTTTAGGTTGCTAATGCTTGCTTCATCGGAATAATGATTAGCAGATAATTCAAATTCAAATTTTTTTTTTTGTTAATTTAATTTGTCCGTATTTGATGAAAAAAAATTCGTTAATTTTCCTATAATGTTGATAACTGATTTTATTCTATCAGTTTCATTTTCCTTTGCTTTTATTTCATTCCTATTTTCCTTTTCGCACTGCTGAAATGGTGCCGACCAGCTGAACCTTTCGTTTTCACAATTTTTTCATTATTCATCGAAATTCTACTTATCATTTTAAAATGTACAATCTTACACAAGAATAAATCACAGAATAAAACATGCACGAAGCATGGGAAGAAATAAAGGATAGGCGAGAATTAATCGCACTATTTTCGTCAATATTTAGACATTCATATATACTGATAAAGTCTGATGAACAGTTTGATAGATTCTGCAAAAAAATTGATAAAAATTTGTCATGGGACATTTTTTTTTTCAAGAAAACTTATATACTAGAATCACTTGGAGCTGAAAGTAGCGGATTAGACCCAGCGCCGTTTGGGTGTCTTTTAGTACTTAATATTTTGCGAGAAATCTAATAATTCGAAGAAATTATTGTTTTTTCTGATTATTATCATGATTTGCAAATTAAAGATGATAAAAATTAATAAATCTAAACAAAATTAACGAAAAATGATTGCGAAAAATCTCAACCATTTCACTGGTATTAATTAATATTACCACATTTGGTTGACATGCAGCCACAAAATTTGGAGCGAGTCGACTTGTTGTAAATCTTATCATATTAGTGATCAACTGAATAAAGAAGGCTCCCATGAGAAAATATCCTAAAAAATTCTCGCAACAACTTACTTTTTATTTATTTAGAAAGTATCACTTCATATAGATAAAAATGAACCCAACTGAGCTTAACTTATCCAAAAAAGTACTAAAAATTCTTAAATGAAATAACTATTATTATATCCACGAAGCATGGAAATTAATTAATCTGGATGGGAAAAATCTGACAAAATCTTTGTTTTTCATGAAACCAGGGACGTTTTTCACTTCATATATTTTTTTGAACTGTTCGACTAAATAATTGATTTGCAATCACTTTCTACTGTTTTGCTTTAGAAGCCATCAAGAAAATATCACTATCACTATTTTATCAAATCTCAATTTTTCTTCAGCTCTTGAGATTTTTTAGATGGGGTCAAACATTGTAAGATAAGTAGAATGAATGAAAAATACCTAAAATGGCACTTTTTTTCCATAAGAAACTGAAATTTGATCAATTTCACTATTCATTCAACAATAAATTATCGAAGGGACTTACCAAGGAATACATATAATCGAACAAAACATCGATGAACTTTAATATTTCTTATTGTGTACTTTATGCGTATTACTACTTCTTTCTCGAAAATATATATAATGCAAAGCTCTCCGATAATAATCTTAAATTTCTTTTCTTGTTTATTAAGAAAGTACCATTTCATGTCGATAAAAACAAACCCGGCGATTGGCTTAATTGGTCCAAAAATAATGTAAACCCTTAAATGAAATACCCACTATATCTACGATTATTCAAATTTACTGAGTGTCAGATCACTACAAATATAATATAAATACATATGGAGCAAAAGATACATATTAAATGACTTAATATGTTGTCTTCTAAGGTATGCCATTTTTGGTTAAAGTGGCTTCATTGATTGGATGAACTCCGTCCGTTATTTGCAGATAAAAGTGGAAATTTATTGAAATAACGAGCAGAAATTTCCAATTTCTTTAAATTTCTTTTTTTTATTTCTTTTTTGATGCATGGAGTCCTTAACCACTGGGATGTAACTTATTTGTAATCGATGAAGAAAAAATTGCTTACCAAAATAATTGGCAAGAAAAATGCCATAGCAGCCATTACAAAGTACGAAATTCTCGCTTTGACATCCGGAAAAAGTATGGACTGGTCATTACAATAAAATCCGGTTTTGGCTGGCTCTATCGCAACCGCAAATAATATCGTTGGAATTACTGAATTTATCTCATAGATTTAAAAAAGAAAGAGAAACCCTTTCAATGCATATCTGAACAAAATTTGATTGCGATATTGGTTTTTGGTTATTCTGCTTTATCTTCATATCAAGTTAATCGAAAATTACGCTTTTATGAAGTAAGAATATTATGTCAAATATATGACTTAATTGATTTCGTGATTTATAGTATCGCCTATAAAGTTGATAACTTCTATATGTTATGAACGCTGAATAACACTCCGTTCTTGCTCCAAGCGACAAAAACTTGGTGCAAAACTTATTTGCAAAAGTTTACCGTCGTAATATAATCGTCATAATACAAAGAAGCAATTTTCAGCTGTAGAATAAAAGAATTTCTCATAAAATTTCGTATATTGATCATGAAACTATAATCGAGTTGTCTACGTTGAAATTATTTTGAAATTATTTTGTCTATGTTGAAATTATTACACCAGTTATTTCTGTTTTTAGGTTCTTCTAACGACAGTTTAGCCAATCTTCTTATTTGTAAGTAAACCCAAACAGCAGAACAGTAGCAGCAGAATTTGCAAATTCCCAATAAATTTTAAGGCAGCGTTTACTCACTTCAATGGAATGGCTTCAAACCCCTATTGCCTGTTCATAGCGAAAGAAGAATACTTCTCAACCATTTTAAACTTGCATCTATAGACAGATTAAGCGAAATAAAGGGATTTATTCAAAAATCTTTAAAAAAACAAACCAACCAAGAACAGCGATAACAAAAAAATCTACAGCAATCTTAAGTATTTGAATCGACTGCATTGATAACAAATAAATACAAATAAATAAATACTATAAAACGAAAATAAAATCTTTAGCGAATATCGCTGAGGAGGAGTTTTCAAATCGGAATTTACAAATTTTAATAAATCAGTGAATTATTCTTGAATCGATTATGATAATAATTTTATATATTTAATTCAGTGTCAACATGATGATCTACCACGATCCTTCTCATAATTCTGGTTAGATTCGCTTTATTGGTTGCCAATTTTTGGCAATAGAAGAGTACCATTGGCGTTTCTTAACGATAATGACAACTCTGTTGGAGGTATGACATAAACTCTAAAGCCTGATTGTAACAATATTCTGCATCACTTGGCTATCATCCTCATCCTTCATGCTGCTATAATTTAATAGTTAATAGTTGTCTTTGCTTAAAACTCGTTTACATAAGAAATTTAAGTTCCAATTTTTCCTCCTTGTTTCTATAATTTTTGTTAGGACGCCATTTTAAATTAATTTCTATAAAAAATCCGTAATAATTAATTTAGCATCAACTAAATCCTTTTTTTGCTAAATCTATTTGTATCTAATACAGAGGCAAACTATATTGCCTTTATCATTTTCATTGGCAAAATAATAATGCGCTTTCCAGGATGATTTTGAGAGAGTATTATTATAGATTATATTTAATAGATCGATCATTCTGAACTGAATTTAAAAATTTATTTAAAATTTGTATTGATTTAAATTTATATCTGATTTAAATAAAATATCAACCTACCTTCGCTCAATTATTATAATTATTAGAATGAATTTCGTGGGGAATTTTTAGATTTTTTGCAGTACTTTTGTAACAATAACAACTTGCAACTATCCTTTTTCAATGGATTTTGCCCACGATCTCAATAATTAAAACTTGCTATAATGTCAAAATCTTTTGCCAATTTTCATTTCATTTCAGCACCAAAAATTTAATTATAGGTTTTTAAATTTCAAAAACAATGATTTTTCAGAATTAGCACCTCATAGTCTTTATTTTTTTGTTCTACGCTTCGCTATTTCTAAATTCCTGAAATTTGAGCAAAACTTCAGACATTTTCTTCCTTTCTTTTGATTTTTTTTCACTCATTCTAGAAGGAAAAAAAAATATAAAATTAATACAAAGAGCAAATGTAGAAGCTTTTTAAGAAAAAAAACAAATGAAGAATCAACGCTGCTATACTATACGCTACTGAAGCAGTAATTGACATAACCAATAAGAATAAATATAAAATTGTAAATGTTGTACAGAAAAAAGAATATATTCTCTTAGCATACGAATCTTTCGTTGGGACCACGGCGATTCCCCTTCCAATATTCTACCTTTACAAAAATTTCTTTTGCTAAATCCGCTCCACTATATTTTTTCTGTATAGATTTAATTTTCCTTCCACGCGGGACTATTATTTCTTAACAATATTATAAACACGCGGCCAGCGTTCTCTTCTTACTTTCCTCGTTGCGAACACCTCAAACTTGGAAATTAAAACTTTATTAGTGATGACGCAAATATACATTGAAAATAAAGCGAAACAATTGTACTACTACAAGGGAAATAATACAATAAAAAAAATCAAATATAAGATATAAATGCCCATTGCTCACCGACCGCTCCCCACTCGTTTTTCTAATAGAAGCATAAAATGACCAAAAATGATCTATTGGGAGTTTACATTTAATTTAAGATGGGCGGTAAGATTTATGGTTTTTAATCCTCTCATAATAAAAGCTATTTTATACCTCTGACTTATGAGGTACTCTACTATTATTATGGGATATTTTCTAATACCATCTCCAACTCTTCTCTCCCTTATTTCATAAATTCTTTTGCTAGGCATAGCAGGTGCGATCCGGATGATCTGCTCATATTTGCAGCTTTTTTTGCCATTCGGCGACAAACATATTATATATATAACCTTGCCAATGATAAAAATCCTCAAATGAGACTATAGATAGTGGTAAAAAGAATCAGAAAATAGGGGATGGTAGATAAAATAAATAAGTGACAGGGACATTAGGAAAAAGGCATATGAAAAAAGGATAGAAATAGGAAAAAAGGAATTAGAAAATAATGTGGAAAGTGATAAAATGATCCCATGCACTTGGGGGCTGTGTCCAAAACTGGAAAAGTGTCTCAACATATGAGAACGACATCAGAGAGCTATCCAGCACTTTCAAGTTAGGAATAGCTAAGATACTATTTTAAAAATTTTATGCAAAGTTATATTAAGCTTTAAATAGTCGAGAAAATGAATTAGATTATGAAAGAGTCGAAAAATAACCAAAAAACATGGAAAATTACGAACTTTAAGAATCGTAAAATTATTAAGAAATATAGAAAATTGCGGATAGAATATTGAATATTGAAAATCATAATGGCTTAACTTTGCTCGAAATATTTCTTTCGTTCATATTCCATTTGATACCTTACTTTTGCCCTGAAAATAAGACTTTGGCCAATTTTCAATCCTCTAATAAACATAAAACGTGAAAGTATTAAAAAAAAACGCGAAAAAACTTTTTCAAATTTTTGATATATTTAAATTAATCCGTAACTGTGGATTCGACTTTGATCTGAAATTTTACAAATTTTATATATTTCTCAAAAGTACGAAATGATGCGACCAATTATTTATTGAAATATAAATAAATTTCACGATATATAAAAAATTTACTACACTTAAATTAACTGTAAGTTCCATTTGAAAATTACTGTGAATGCGAAAATGAGAAGTGTTTATAGGGTAGACAATGGTGCTCAAATATTGATAATTTATAATAAAAAATCTGATTTCATTATCAAATCTTCATAATCTGTTACAAAATCTGTTTCAAACAATGGCATAAATCATGCTGGTGCTCTGATAAATTTTTTTCCAAGCCTGTAAAATTAAAATGAGAATTACTGCTCATTTGCCGTAAAAAGTTTTTCAAGCTTTAAAATTTCTTTTTTCAACGCTGTAATTTCATTTCAACTCTTGTTTTCAACTAATAAAATTTAAAGTTCTCTTC